CCATTCTGGCCCCCCCCCCATCCCTGGGGCTCCCCCCTGCCCCTCAACCCTGGGGTTCCTCCCTGCTACTGGGGGGTTACCCATGCTCCCCCCCTGCCCTCCTCGCACACTTTTGGCTGCCAGCACTGTCCTGGGGGAGCAGGCAGGGAAAGGGGAATCCCCCCTATCCCACCTCTGCTACACTGCTGCTAGCTTGCTGCTCTTCTCCAGGCTGAGCCTAGCCCAGAAAGCAGTGGTAGTGGCACGGGCTGGGCAGTGGGGTTCCCCTTCCCTGCCTGCTCCCCTGGGACAATGCCTGCAACTTAAAGTAAGGGAGGGGGGGCAAGCAGGGAGCTGGAGTGCTGGGGAGAGCAGACCCATTCTAGCGGGACAGATACAAATGTCTGCAAAGTACTAGAGGCACTTTTATTGTCATGTTGCCACATCAAGTAATGTAAAATTAAGGGCAATGTGAAGAAGTGGAATAATAGATTAGTAGGAATTGCCACTTACTTTCCTTCATAGCGGAAGCTCTCTATGTTGTGTAAAACACCCAATCCTGCACGTAGCCTTTCAACACCATTCCTAAAAAGAGAATATTCATGTAAAAAGCACAAAGTTTTTCAAGTGCAAATGTGCTGTTTGTCTGTCTGTGACACACATATGGTTTAATCACAATAATAAGTTCTTATATTTGATGTTTTAAATTGATGTTGATTGTAGTTTTATAAAACACTTAAAAACGTACAGAAAACAGTCCTTGCTTACCATGCAATCATAACACCATTGTCAGTGCAAAGTCTGGGAGGAGGGCACAACAAAGCAAAATCAGTTGCATCTGTTACACTTTGCAGAGCTCTTCGGATATATTGGTTACTTGCAACTCCTCCTGACACAACCTGACATCAGTTTGGAAAGAGAAAAAAACAAGTCACACTAAGACTGAACAAAAATTAGGGACCACTTATATGGTTAAAGAAAAAAACCTGATGATAGTACTATTAGAGATAAGTTTTGGACACTAAAACCTATTACAAGAGAAATTTGCATAAGTAACCTAAAGAAAAACTCACCAAAGAAATTAGCAAAGAAATATGACAGTTGTCAAATTAAAGCATAGTATAAATAGGACAGTTGTCAAATATATTGGGTATGACTCTGTGGAATCTGATGGTCTGTGGTCAGAGTAGATCATCACCTCAGTCTCTTTTGGCTTTAAAAATCTATGAAACTATTACTCTCCTTTATTAAGTCAGAATAAAAGCAATAGGCTAAGTTGCTGAAGTGCAAATGTAACCTAACAATTAAACAAACTGTCGGTTGTTACCATTGTAACCAAGCTATTGGTTATAAAATGTTAATCATGAAAAACATGGAATCACTATCGACTATATTAGAAGTTAGATTTAATATCCATCTATGACAGATGATTTGAGAATAGATTAGATCAGCGTTTCTCAACCCATGGGTCGCAAGAATATTGCAAAGGGGTGCAAGCGTCAGAAAAACGAATGAAAGCATGGGTTTCCCCTTGCAGGCTGGAAGCATTCCAGCCTGCAAGCAGCTGCTTGGGGCATGGCCAGCATGCAGCCAGGCATGGTCATAGGAGCAGCCCCAGCAGCTGGATGAAGGTAAGCATATGGGGAGTGGGGGCTAGAGGGCCAGGGTTTGGGGACTGTTGGGGTGAGGCAGGGCAGGGCACGGCAATGTGTGCATGTGTGGAGGGGATGGGTGTGGAGGGGGGGCAGTGTGTGTGCCCTGCTGGCACTGGGAAAAGGTGGCCTGGGGGCTCGGTGCCAAGGCTGCAGCAAGGCAGGGGGGTGGGGCACTATGAGTCAGACACCAGCAGGGCCAGGGGGGTGTGGGCTGAGAAAAGTGATTGTTTGTGGCAAATGGGTCCCAGTATGAAAAAGGTTGAGAACCACTGGATTAGATGACACCCCACTACCCCTTCCAATAATAACTACACTTTACTATTTGCATTAGGTAGTCCACAGAACTCTCAGTCAGGAAGGTGCTCCACTGTGTTGGGAATTTATTAAAAAGCTTTCCACTTCTTGTAAAAATAATTTAAAATGTTAGCTGTTAAGAATAACTTTCTTGCTGTATTATGAGGCAAAGACACTTTTTAGAAAATAAGTAGCATTCACATAACTCTAGCACCACAGACAAAGTCACTTTACAAGCTTCCCCTTTTAATCATATACATCATTGCAAACTGCTTTCTGGTACTACTATTTACTTATCGTTTTAAAAGAAGTGATGGAAATTATTGGATCTTGCGTATAATAATTTTTATGCTTGCTTTTAAAAAGTTCACTTCCAACTAAATACATAAAACCCAGGAATAGTAAATAGCCCCTAAGGTTCTACTACAGCTAGGATTTTCTGCAGTTCAAAAAGCTTCAAGTTTGAAATCTTTACGAAAACAATAACAATGTATGCGCAAAAAAATTCCTCTAAAAGATTCCTATCTTCAGTCAGCATGACTTAATATATTAAGATGAGCTCAGTTAAATTGAATAGTAAGAAAATATGAACCCAGTTAAAATTATAGCAGTTAAGTCATAAACTGCAATATTATCACATGTTCACAAAAATCTTTAAAACATTTTATGTATTTCATGAAGCTGTTAAAATAGCACATCACAGAGGCATCAGCAGTGTGATAATTAGAATACTTGTGTTTTACGTTATTAGCACCAGGATGGGAAGATTTTTAAATCTAAATTAAAGTGACAATGTATAGTCTGCAGCCATACCACCTTAGTCCACTACACTCAGTAATATTTCATTAATTTAATAGAGTTGGAATTAAGTCAAAACTGGGATGGCAAAACTAAATGAAAAAGCAAGGTACTTCAGAAAATAATGGCAGTAATTCAGTATGTGTTGACTCTTCCCTCAATACAATGCAAAAAATGTTCTTCTTGCAATTTCAGTTGGGTTTATAATTCACTTTCTTCCTAAACTATTGTTTAGTTTTACTCTGCTGAGATACTGCTAGGTTGCTGCAAGCAACATTTTTTGGATGAACTATGAAACCATGATCCAGACTATTTTTTGTTATTTGCAGTTGAATGGTAATTTACACAACTAGGTATTAATCCTGGCATCCTGTCCAAATATAAACGTTGTTAATTGCTGAATTTAAATAAGTGATGTATTTTCCCTGAGGTGTCTGTGTTTCAGTGGAGTTGATTAGGAACAGGCATTGCATTTGCCCACAGAAAACCTGTGCCTGTGTTTGTCCCAGAACAGAAATACCCAAGAATTGGTATGTGTAGGCCTCACTGGAGTAATGAATAAAATAAGCACTGATCAATGCATATGCAACTCATATAAAGGCTTTGCTTAGAGTTAATCAAAGTCAAATGCTGACCTCACACCACTAGTTGCCTGTGAGAGTAAGCCTGACAGCTCAGACACACTTTGCGATATCCTCAGTCCCTAGGATAAACTGTTAATACTTCTTATCCTGTGAACCGTTTTAGGATTTAACCCAGGACAATGGCCAGACACATCTGGAAAAGTACACTGTGTCTTGGGATAAAATAGTTTATTCTGGGACAACTGTGACATCTCTTTGTAGTCTCTACAGTTTACATATCAGTCTGACAGTTTCATTCACTAAAAATGTTAAAGTTCTGGCTAGAACCCACCCCCTAATATAGCTAAATATATTGAAAAATTATATAAATACAGTAGAACCTGAATCGTTCCTATTTTTCACACCCAGTTTGCTCTGAATGTTGCCAAATTCAGAATAAGCCACTCAGATATATTCTGTGGCTTTACTGCAAAGGACACAGCTTCCTCCATCAGCTGCAGCTCACCAACAATCCTGCAGAGCTGAAAAAAGAAGCCATATCCTTTGAAATAAAAGCTGCAGCCCCATGCAGTTGTTTTGTTGCAATTCTATATACCCCCAGCAAACCCTCAGCTGGGTTAGGAATCTAACCCTGCAAAGTATCTAGGTTCTACTGTATAAATGATGAAGAACAAAAGTTAAGATTTGGATACAATCCTAAAACTACTTTCCTTAACAATACACAGCTGCACACTTCTCTAGAAAGCTGCATGCCTTATTTATTTCAGTGACTGCTTGTTCAACTGAGGATACAGACACACAACCTTACTGTGGTTACCCACTCTAGCAAAGTTATCCTTCAGCACATGAAGAATAACTACGCATCAGTGTAAGTTACACCACTACATGCTAGCCACTCTATTCTTAGCATCTGACATAGTATGTTGTTGCCCATGAAAGTCCATGCCTCTCTGAACAAGTTAGTCCCTAGCCACATGCCCTTCCCTCTACCTGACTTCAGACTAACATGGCTAACCTGTCTGCTCATGGAAGGCACCATCCTCAACTGAACAAAATGGACTTTAGTCAACTTACACAAGAAACTTGCTCAGGTATGCTCAGAAGGAGATTTTATAGCAGCTGACAAAGTAAGTTGTTCCTTATGAAAGCTTGCCTCACTGAACCAATAAGTCTCCAGGTGCCACCCTGTCTTACCTTCTACCTTGGTATATAGATTGTGAGAGCCTGCTTCTTTAATCAACTCCATTTCTGGGTTGTTTGCTCAGTAAGAATCAGCTCCCCATCACCTAATGGCCAGGTGCTGCAGGCAACACACTTTGGAGAGCTGTTTCCTACTACAAAATAGATTCTGGAGTACAGGAGACACTTGCCATTTATGGGGGATATGTTCTCGTATCCCCTGAGAATGGTAAAACCTGCGAATAAGACACTGCATTCATGAACACCCCCTGGGAGACTGGGGGGAGGGGAGGGGCGGAGCCACGGCTGTGCTGGCGGCAGCGGGAGTGCAGCAGCAAGCGCAGAGCTCCCGAGGAGCTCCTTTAAGCGTATTAAGATACACAGGTTCGGCATTTGCGAATATTTGAAACCGTGAATGCCAAACCTGCGAATAGCGAGGGTGTCCTGTATATTACTGCGCAGTAATTGTATTGTGTGTCTTTACCCTAAATATGCAATATGCATTTATTTTAATGTGGGACCAGTATTGGTACCTCTGGATATGTTAAGGAGGGTGCTGTGACATTATTTTCACAGACTTACATTTATACAAATACATAGCGGAACATAACAGTTGACAAATGGAGTAAGATTATATATGCTTACCAAAGTCGCATTTGTTGGTAATAAGATACCACTTTTTATGCAGAAGAGAATGGCTCGGTGCGTTTTTCTGGCAATATGAAGGGCAACTGCATGCTGTACTGCAGCAGCAATGTCTGCAGCACTTGATAGGAGCTGTCCCTCTTGAAGACCTGTAAAAATTATGACCACATGGATTTTCCCAAGTGTAACTGACCCTCAGGCGCGTTATCTATACAGGTTTTATTTGGAAAGGTACCTTCTTCCATTTCTTTTTGCATAATCAGTTTTGTGACATTGGTTTGAAGTCCAGAAAAGGAAAAATTGCAGTTGACATGATGTTTCATGAGAGGTTTGAGGTTATAATTCAGCCGGTTTCCCTTTTGAGCTAAATACTCTATAGCTTTCCCACCGGTTATGCTGCAGCAGTCTAGGTGCTTTGTTAGAGACAGTCTTCTTGCTACCTACAAAAAAAGATATGTGGAAGAATGTACTGATACTATACAACAGTCTCAAAATGAAGAGATGGAGAGAAAATCAAAGCAACATATATCCCCAGTGAAACTACCCTACTTTACTCTGTAAGATGCAATTATGAATCAGGTGGAATGAGGAAAAACTAATGATAGATGTTGACACTGAGAGGACAGATTGCAAACTCTATGAGAAATGAGAGGAATCTAAATCTTGTAGTGTTGAAAATGGACTGCTGCAGGTAACTTACACTTCCCCTCCCCGCCTCCCCCAACAGAAATAGAAGAAACCTTAAGATTTTTCTTAACTGGGTATAAAATAGTTTTAAAAATTTGTTTTGGCTGAAAAAAAAATATCTGCAAATATGTTGCAGGGCCTGAGAATATGAAACTGAAACCGGTGGTCTACTTTTACTGTCCAGATTAAATGACCAATAAATACAACTTAATGGTGTAAAACAAACTGGTCTTTTTAGAAACTTTCTTAGTTGCAATTAAAAACACAAGTAAGTATATATAAAACAAATATATGACATTTAAATAATCACTTCTAAATATTCTTGTATTATTCTGACTCATTTGTATTGTATACTTAAGACAGGCTGACCATCCAGGTTTTAATTACTAATCATAGAATTATATCATTATAATCATAGAATCATAGAAAATTAGGTTTTGAAGGGACCTCAGGAAGTCAGAGTCCAACCTCCTGCTCAAAGCAGGACCATCCCCAACTAGATCATCCCAGCCAGGGCTCTGTTGAGCTGGGCCTTAAAACCCTCCAAGGATGGTGATTCCACCACCTCTCTAGGTAAGCTGTTCCAGTGCTTCACCACCCTCCTAGTGAGAAAGATTGTCCTAATATACAACCTAAATTTCCCTTGCTGCAACTTGAGACCATTGCTCCTTGCTGTTATCTGCCACCACCGATAACAGTCTAGCTCCAACTTCTTTGGAACCCCTTTCAGGGAGCTGAAGGCTGCTATCAAATCCTCGCCTCAGTCTTTTCTTCTGTAGAGTGAATAAGCTTAGTTCCCTCAACGTCTCCTTGGAAGTCATGTGCCAGGCCTGACCCCGCTGCCCTCTGCTGGACTCTCCACATTCCTTCGGGGGGGTGGGGGTGGGGGGGCACCTGGCCCCTAAAAATCCATATTCAAATTTGACAGAGAAAAGTTCAGTTTATATTGTATTATTTTTCTTACAGACCTTTCCCTCACAGACATACTGACTAACCTGTTCCAGCCTATGCAGTCACAATCAGATCCCTCCTTTAATAATGCCTATTTTATAAGCAAGTAATAGTTAAATAAATTACAATAAAATAATTTAAGGTAGCATCTGATGATCTTAACAAAAATGTGTTACTAATAATACAGAAATTAAGACCAATATTCACAGGTGACTAACCTTATCTTGTTACTAGAGTACACTATTTATTTTATTCAGAAAGAATAAGTTACTTTAAAACTTAAGGAAATTCTTACTCAAGACCATTCCAGAATTATCATTTCCTAAAGAAAATAGTTATACCTACGCTAAAATAGAAAACAGAGAAATTATGATGCAAATAATACAACAATCACTAATATTTTGAATAAGACACTTAAGGGAATCCATATGGAATTACCTTGTCAAGCATGTCACCTGGTGCTATATCCAGTGACTGTCCGAGCAGAAGGAAATCTGAAACTCCTTGTGCTACTGCCAGGATACAGTGACCTCCAGAGATTAAAAGAACTAAGAAAGGAAATTCCACTTGATTTGTCAGCCTAACTGTAAGTGCATGTGCCTCCATATGATGGATGGGGATAAAAGGCTTCTTATATTGTTTCACCAATCTTAAACTATATTCTAATCCCACTCCAAGGCTTAAAGGAAGTCCAGGTTTTACTGTAGTTGCAATTGCAGAGAGATCATTCGGAGAGATTCCGCTGGTATCAAGTGCTTCTTTTACGATTTTTTCTATATTTTCTTTGTGAAGCTGTTGTGCCACTGGGGGAACTATTCCGCCACTTCTATTAAGCAAAGGAGAGTTATGACATGTTCATATATTGTGAAGGAATCATAGAACTGACAGAAAAGATCTTTAAACTTTGCTAGAACTGACTGTTCCCTGTTGTTTTGTCTGCTCCTACTTAAAATTACCCATAGTGAGGAGCTCCTTATTTGCACTGGGAGACAAAAACATCCTGTTATTCTTTGGTTAATGTCCCATTTGAGTTTGGGCTGTATCATGCCAATTAACAGGACTTAGTACTCTGAATCAACAACTCCTTTCTGTCAAATCAGTAACTCAACAGCTAATTACCATTTTCTAGTGTACATACATTCTTCAGAATTTCTCCAACTTTGATAAATCAGGTTATATTTTAATAAGGCCAAAGAAACTGCTGCTGGATAGAACAAGAAGGAAGCTCTGTGAGTTCATGATGTTTCTATTCGTACTATTTGCTAACATCAGAGTAGGAAAAAAACACAGTCCACAGTATGCAAATAAAAAGCTTTATGTGTACGAAGTACTCATTTCATCAAGTGCTCTCTATCAGCCCCTCTACCTGTTACACTTAAGGCGTGATTAACCAGCTTAATCATGCCTTAAGTTGTGACCTAGGTACATGTTTAACCAACTAATAGTATGATCAAACAAGCAATAAGCTACAAAGTTATTCCACAAAAAATGAGCAATAAACTTTGTAGCTTGTTCTAATCACACCATTAATTGAACATGTAGCTAAGTGTTCCCCTGTGGTTGGGAGCCCCATCAATCAAGGGACTCCCAACCAAGGCTCACAATGCTGGCAGTGTCGTCAGCTGTAGGCCTTGCAGGAGAGACAAAGCTGCTGCCTCTATGAGCTTTGTGAGTTGCAGGGCTCACAACAGTGGCAGCATTCCCTGTGTTGCCCCTGCTGCAAGCCAACGTGGGCTATGGGGCTTGCACCAGGGAGAACACTGCTTCTGCTGTGAGCTTCATGTCCTGCTGCGAGCTTGCAGCAGAGGCAGTGGGGAAAATGCTGCCACCACTGTGAACCTCTTGAAGTGTGGAGCCTGCAGCAGTGGCAGTGTTTCCTTTGCTGTCCCCACTGTGAGCCTTGCAGCTGACATGGGCTATGGGGCTCACAGAGAGAATGCTGCCACTGTTGTGAGCCTCCTGAGGTGCAGGGCTTGCAATGGTGGAAGTGTACTCTGCGCTACACCTGCTGCAAACCCTGCAGTAACTGTGGGCTCTGGGGCTCACAGCAGGGGCAGTGCAGGGAATGCTGCTGCCACTGAGAGCCCCACACTTTATGAGTGGCAGCCAGCATTCTCCCCACTGTACCTGCTGTGAGCCAGGCAGCCCCCGCTGCAACCCCTGTAGCTGACAAGGCTCACAGCAGGGGCAGCGTTCCCAGCACTGCCCCAGTTGTGAGCCCTACAGCCCATGGTGGCTGCAGTGCTCACAGCAGGGGCAGTTCAGGGAATACCGCTCCAACTGCAAGCTCTGCCGGGCCCCAAGAGCTGCAGGGCTCGTAACTGAGGGAGCTAGTGCAGGGGGAATCACCAGTGATACAGTGCAATGGGATTTAATTCATGATCCCACAATCACATCTCCTGCCACACACGTGTAGCATGGCAGGTACAACTGTGTAAATCAGTGGTGTAGGTTGTAGCTGTGTTGGTCTAAGGACATAGGCAGACAAGGTTCTTTAGATGAATCTGATATCTTTTTTTAGATCAATTTAAATAGTTGGAAAAAAAAATTTAGCAAGCTTTCAGGTTTAAAAACTCTTCGTCAAGCTGAGGAAGCCTAACTGCAGTTGGTGTGTCCTCTTCCTGGATGGAATGAATATTAAAGAAGCCAGAGTCTGGGCTGGTATTCATGCAACAGAGGCAGTCAGTGAAGATGTAGAGGACCCTAACTGATGAAACATCAGGTTTCGTCGAATCAATCCTAAAACCTCTTGTCACCCGAAGACCAAGTTTTGTCCAAGAAACTACAGACTTTCTACAAAACCTTAAAAAAACAGACCACCTTCCCAGCAACACCCTCCTAGCCACCATGGATGTTACCAGCTTCTTTACCAACATCCCACACCAGGATGGCATCCAAGCCTGCCTTACATATCTACAAGAGCAAGATTACAACTTAGAGTATAGACCCAAAGATATTACTGACCTTATACACTTCATCCTCACACACAACAATTTCACTTCATAGTAGTTTCATACTAGCTAGGGTCAGAAGGGACCTGAACAGATCATCTAGCCTGACCCCCTGCCACAGGCAGGAATGAATGCTGGGTTCACAAGACCCCAGACAGGTGATCATCCAACCTCCTCTTGAATTTGCCCAAGGTAGGGGTGAGGACCACTTCCCTGGGAAGTTGGTTCCAGATTTTGGCCACCCTAACTGTAAAAAATTGTTTTCTGATCTCCAACCTAAACCTGTTCTCCATCAGCTTATTATCATTGTTCCTTGTCACCCCAGGTGGTGCTGGGGAGAAAAGGGTTCTACCTATTTTCTATTGATCTTCCCTGATGAGTTTGTAGGCAGCCACCAGGTCCCCCCTCAACCTCCTCTTGCCGAGGCTGAACAGGTTCAGGTCCCTCAGCCTCTCCTCATAGGTCCTGTCCTGCTGCCCTCTCACCAAGCAGGTGGCCCTCCTCTGAACCCTCTCCAGGCTGGCCACATCCCTTTTGAAGTGTGGCGCCAAGTACTGGACGCAGTACTCCAACTGCAGCCTGACCAAAGTCGCATAGAGGGGGAGTATCACCTCTCTGGATTGGCTTGAGATGCACCTTTGGATGCATGACAAGGTATGGCTGGCCTTGCTGGCTGCAGTCTGGCATTGGTGGCTTATATTCATCTTGGAGTCAATAATGACTCCAAGATCCCGTTCTGCCTCTGTGCTTTCAAGAGGGGAACTCCCCAGCCTTTATGTCTACTGTGGATTCCTTCTCCAAAGGTGCAGCACCCTGCATTTATCTACGTTGAATCTCATCCTATTCTCATCTGCCCACTTTTGTAGTCTGTCTAAATCTATTTGCAGCCTCTCTCTCCCTTCAAGTGTGCCCACCTCACCCCACATCTTAGTGTTATCAGCAAACTAGGACAGCGTGCTTTCCACCCCCTCATCCAAGTCACTGATGATACTTTTACCCGGATAGTTTTAATAACCAACACTTCCTCCAGACCATAGATATGGCTATGGGCACCAAAATGGCCCCACAGTATGCCGACCTTTTTATGAACCACCTGGAAAAAGAATTCTTCAAAGACTGAACCATCAAACCCTTGCTATACTTAAGATATAGCGATGACATCTTCATCATTTGGGCTGAAAACCTGCAATCTCTGATTGAGTTCCATCAGAAATTCAACAATTATCACCCTTCCACCTGACTATCTCTTGAATACTCCAGCATCAACATCTCCTTTTTAGACATGACGATTAGTGTCCAGAATGGTAGAATACAGACCACATTATACGAGAAACCCACAGACCAACATACATATCTGCACAGAACCAGCAATCACCCTAAACACACCCAAGAAAACTGTGATATACAGCCAGGCCCTCAGATACCACTGGGATTGCCACCTCACTAATCTTAAAAAGGCTTTCAGTCAACAAGGACACTCCTCCAAGAGAGATAGATTGCACGTTTGAAAGAGCCACCTGGACACTACGTGATGAATTGCTGCACTACAGAAGAAAAACCCCCAAGAATCACACACCGCTGGTTATGACATATCACCCCACCCTCGATCCCATACAGAAAATCCTCAAACAACTGCAACCAATACTAGAAGGAGACCTTATTCTTAAAGAGATCTTCCTAGAACCACCCATCCTAGCCTTCAAACAAGTACTGAACCTCGCTAACCTCAACACCAGAAGTAAACTTCCTATGGCCCAGAACACATCAAATGGCTCCATGCCATGACAAGAAATGCAAAACCTGCCAACACATCTCTACCACCCCCACAATTACTACACCCCACAACAGAGCCATCAGCATTCCTGGATCTTGCAGCTACACCTCCAGAAATGTAATATATCTCATCCAATGCACCAAATGCCCTGATGGAAAATACGTAGGAGAGACCAAACAACACCTGCTCACCAGACTGAATGCACATTGGACATCTGTCAAAGACAAGAATACCCAATTACCTGTGGGTACACATTTCTCACAAGAAAACCACTCCCTCTACAATCTCTCAGTTCTAATCCTCAAAGAGAACTTACAAAACACTTCTCAGAGATGAGCCTATAAACTCCACTTCAGCCTCCTGGATACAAAAAATCATGGACTAAATATAGACATTGGATTTATGATACTTTATAACTTGCCTGACATCTGACTCCTCAGGTACCTCTCCACTTTTTACCGGCTACATTCATCCCCCTTTTCTCTCCCCCTGCCCCCAGTCTGTCTCTCACCCACTGACTCCTCAATTTACATCTTCACTGACTGCCTATCTTGCATGCATACCAGCCCAGCCTCTGCCGCCTTTACTATTTGTTCCATCTAGGAAGAACACACAACAACTGCAGAGGCTTCCTCAGCCTGATGAAGGGTTTTTAAATCTGAAAGCTTGCTAAGAAATTTTTTTCCAACTATTTAAGTTGGTCTAATAAAAGGTATCAGATTCACCCAAAGAACCTTGTCTGACTGTGTAAATCATGCATTAGATCCCACTGCACCTTTGCTTGCATGTGTAGAGGGGCCCTAACAGATATATGTAGTATTTTAAGAAGAGACATTCTGCCTACAATATGATAAATACAAACAACAAAATTAGTAGTATTTAATCACAATTACACTTAAAAAACAAAGCATGCATGGAAGTTTTTACCTACTTCAAATGGACTTCAACTTGAGAATGCAGAGCTTCTCCTAAAATGTTGCCACTATCATCCAGAACTGCAGCTCCTGTATCATCACAACTTGTTTCTATTCCCAGAACTAATTTACGAGCAGAATGGTTTGCAGACTGAGAGAAAAAACTTCTTAAACACACAGCTTGACCATGTCTAACTGATTTTGAAATGCCTCTGATTATGCTGTCCATGGCTAAAGTCTTCTGCACATAGACATGCCTAGAAAGGAGCTGTACAGAAACCATCCTCAGATTTTAGATTCTGTAAAAATCATTTATGCAAGTTAAGTCATATTAGTGACAAATGTCTTTAAAAGCACTGGCCAAATTGATTCAGATTACTCATTTGATTATATTCAAGTGAAATGACAATGTCCTAACAGCCAAATGAAATTCAAATATTAGTCATTCTTATTATACCCTGGTACTTATACCAACCTGTGCCCAACAGATACCCAAATATCTTTCTTCACATTAAGTAGAGGTTCTACCAGACATAACCGCAAGTTCTCATGATTCAATCTAGATCATGGGTGCTCAACCCCCACCCCTCAAGGCGATGGATCCTAAGGGGGTTGGGCAGCACAGAGCCTTGTGCCACCTCTGCCCAGCTAGGTTCAGGCCCTGGGGCCCCATGCCACCCCTCAGCCAGCATGGGGCTCTGGAGCCCAATCATTCAGACTGGCACTGTATCATTCATCTGGCCTTCAGGGCCAGACACGTGAGCATCGCTGATTTAATTCTCTTCCCACTGACCCACGTTTTGCAGTACTTCCATTTATACATTATTTACAGTGATAGTGTAACTCCTTGGGCAAATCAAACCATCTTTATTCCTCCAAACCTCATTTATGATGGCACATTTCCATTCTTCCTACTCTTACTAATCCAACCACCTAATGTATGTTTGCTTGAACTTTCTAAAGACATTTATTACTGAACTGAGAACAAACATGCCAAATTTCACCCTTAACTATTTGTTCTGCTAACTCTAAAAATGACCCATTTAAAGAACTCATAACAGCCTGACCTAAGATATGAGGAAAAATACTTGCATTTATTAAACTGTTCAAATGCTGTCCCCTCTTATTCTTTCTAAGCAAAAACATGTACTCTGGGAGCTCTTTAAATAAACTGTCTAAAACAAGTATGCAAACAATAATGATTTAATTTCTATGTTTTAGTTGCATTACAGGGCAAACAATTTGCATGGCAGGTTACAGTAACTGTCTATCCAAACATATTCCTTTGCGTGGGAGCTGAAATCAAATCTCCTCTTTCTATATGTCTAGACTAAGTTCACTGGGGAAGGAGACATTGCCACAATATTCTCAGCAATTTAAAAAATAGTTTATTTTCCTCACTTGTTTTAAAAATAGCTTATTTCAAAGCTAGAAACTAATGTGTTTTTTTCCCTTTTGGCTTCTTTGTGCATGAGTATCCATTCCTTAGGGAAGGGTTTTCAGAAATGCTTTTGTATTTTTCATTGCATGAAGAATTAAAATGACATAGGTCAAATTTTAGGTCAAACTAAATGAGGAATGTATCCTTAGGCTTCTGAAAAATCTTACCTTTAAAGCTTGGAAACTAACCTGAAAGTTATGTTTCATTCTTTTTTTTACCATTACAAACTACTGGGTTTCTTGTGGATTTCTTAATAAAAAAGGAAACATGCTTTCTTAACATTCAATGCATTTACAGAAGAGCTTTTACCTGCACCGAAAACATGTTTTACAATTGCTTCTGTTCACTGGTGGCAACTGCTAGCTATCCCACATAGATAAAATATTTTGTACCTTCCTGAAAGACAGACAAAACAAAATGTAAATCTTTCAAAACTCTGCAGTGCATGAGAAAGACAAATATGTGCCTGGTTACCTAAACTGTATGAGCGGTACCTTTATGGATTATATTCTTCAATTTTCCATTTTTTGGAAAGAAACAAATATGTCATAGTCATTTCCACTTCAAATAGTTTTCAAGCTTTCAGAAAGGTAGTTCTCCAGACAAAGGAGGATTAAATCATATTAGTAAAGCGATTATAATAAGGTAAACAAAGCTGAATACATGTTTGTGCTTTATTTAAAAGTCTCATCACAAACTACAATGAAATCATTTAACGTGCCTAATCTATTAAAATATATTCACAAATTACCATGCAGATGGTGCAAGGCTCCTGCTTCAAATGCAGCACTAAGATGCTGCTTATGGCACTTGCCTCCACTCTGCCCCTATAGCGAAGTAAGATGAGATGGGTGTTCCCACATATTAAAATAATAATTATTGCATATCTTCATGTGTAGATCTCTGGTTGCCATCTTGGTTTAGCAATACGAAACTTGAGAGCCAGCTCAAATGACTTGGCCAACATCACAGGACTCATGACAGAACCAGGGACAGCACCCAGATTTATCCAGGCAAAATGCCACGAAGTGGTTCTCAACCTTTTACGCTGAAGTCCCTCCTGGAAAACGCCAGCTCTTAGTTTTCACTTGTTTTTTGCCTGTGGAAAAATTAGAGCAGCTCTTTTGCTGCAAAGAACTCAGACAGAGCACAGCGTTTCTCACTCTGGACTCCTGGATGAAGTCTCTGGTTTATTTCGTAAATCCTGCCTGGGTGCTCGCATGCCTACTGCGCAGTAGGGGTGTACGAAGTGGGCCTTATTTGATTCGAATTTGGCCCAAATCAGGGACAGTGATTTGACTAGTTGATTCAGATCACCGTCCCTGATTTGATTCGGGCGAATCTGAAGATTCGATGCTGATTTGGAGAATCAGTGATTCGGACACAGACACAGCTTTAAAAGTTTTTTCTAAATACCTTGAGGTAGCAGGCATGGCTTGTGATCACTGCACTGCTAAGGCACATGAAGTGTCCCACAGAAGTGCAGGGGGGGCCCTCCATGTGCTCGGTGGTGAACCTGGAAGTGGACTGGAAGTACCGGTCCACTTCCAGGTGCGCTGGGGAGCGTGCTGGGGGGCCCTCCACGCCTCCCCAGCTCGGCAGTTGGCCACAGGGAGACCCCAGGTGCCCCCCCCAGACCCAGCAGGCACCAGTCACTAAACCAGGGCAGGGGTGCGGGGTGCCCCCCCATGTGCTCCCCGGCAGACCTGGAAGTGGACTGCAAGTGCTTCTGGTCCACTTCCGGGTCCACTGCTGAGCACACTGGGGAGTCCCCTGTGCTTCTGTGGGACACTATATGTACCCCAGCACTGCAGTGTTCACAAGCCCCTGCTATGGACAGGTACCGAGAAAAAACATTAAAACTGTCTCTATGTCCAAATCTCTCCGAATTGATTTGGAGAGTTCCAATTTGATTCGGACAGATTAAAGGGTCCTCTGATTCAAGTCGGAGATTTGGCCACCTAACTGGGCCAAATCTCTGCTGAAGCAAGTCAGGGTCCTAAGCTTCACACGGCCCTACTGTGCAGCACCCCACGAAGGAGCGCATGGCACCCAGAGCCGGGTCCCATCGGACCTGGGTGAGAACCACTGCCCCTCCCTGCCCAGAAAAGCTGTCATTCCCACTGGACACCTGGACTGGGAAACTCCCTGTAGGACAGAGGGGCAGAAAGAGGGAAAGAAAACAAGCCTTATGCGCATGTCCCCCCCGCCCCGCGGGCTCCCACCCGGGGACAGTGGCGGAGGGGAGAGAGGCCCCAGGCTCGCTTGTCACCGCTGCCAGGCGTGAGGACCTCCCCGCCGCCTTCCTCCTCTCCCAGGGCAGAGGTCTCCCCGCCCCCCCTTTACTTTTGGCTCGTGCCCGGCTCCACAAGGGTTAAACCTCCGGCTTGCGAGACGCCCGGGGACTCGCCACCAGACTAGGGCGCGATCACGTGACCGGGTCGCGTCACAGCGACGGGACGTGGAAGGCTGGCGCGCCCGCGCCATTTTCATTAAGGGAAAGTAGAAAAGCGGGAGAGTTGCAACAGCCATCCTTGCTAAGAGAGTGACCTCCCTTCCCCCGGGCTTTTATCTGCTGGGTGGAGACGTCTCTAGAGCCGTCACGTGCTGGGGGCGCATCAGAGACAGCCCCGGCGCTGGTTGGGCTGTGTGCGCAGCGGCTCCTGCCTTGCTTGTAGCTGGTCTCCCGGCTGCGGCGTGGAAAGAGCTGGGCCTGCACTGGAAGCTCCCCGGCAGGCGCTAGGACACGCGAGCAGCGAGCTGCGCCGTTTGCTCGGCTTGGGTTGTGCTGCGAGGCTAGTGTCCCCCTCACGCACACGCGCGCCCTCTGAAGCAACCTGCCCAGTACTTTATTCCTTGATGCCTCATGTAATAAATGGGTGTCACCACGGTGCACGTGGCTCGTACCCGGGTGTAAGCTCATGTGACAAACTGCTTGTTTACCTTAGGTGCCTGAGGGCCTGGGCTGGGCTGGGCTGGCTCCTGGGCTCGGACCTGCCATTTGGAGGAGGTGGGTAGATGAAGGGGTATTTGCATGCGTGCATTAACTGGCTGAAGGAAGCATGCCGCCTTACATGGGGCTGGGATGGATGAAAGTGCGTGCGTTTTGGACCGCAACCAAGAAAATTAATCCAAGCCATTTCACAGACCAGGTTTTTAATTCCGTAAAACACGTAAGCCACTGGAAAAAGAAAAATACCCTATTACAAATACGTCTTTCACAATTACTAAGAGGTTTTCCTGTCCAACTCTAGACAAGTTTCACATAGTGTTTCAAACACTAATTCTATGTTCCCCTCAGTCTATTTACAAGAGCATGCCACCAATTTGTGGTCTGAAGTGTCTTTTGGTGAAACAAAGTAACGTGTACAAAATTCAAGGTTGATTTCCAGCCTCCATCAATGTCACTTAAGTTAGTCTAAAACAATGATTTGCAAAAAGAAAACAAGTTTTCAGTGAGCTACAATAGCCTGCTGAAGCAAAATCTTTTTTTTAAAAGGGAACCAATTATCAGCTCCTGCATAATCATCTGCTTATAGACTGATCTGTTTCGAAGAGTCAAAACATTTCATGGGAGGAGAATACCTTATCGGCTGTAATGCTTCACTCCTTCTATTCACAAAGTAGCCAGAGGAACCCTCTTTTTAAATTAGCAAGAAAGATATAACAAATCAGTGGCTAAATGTGAGGGAATGTTGCTAGTCAACAGAGCACCAATGCAGGTTGGTTTTTCCTGCAGGTACATGTATGTAGCCCAGACTTAAGCCAGGGCCAGGCCACTGAAATAAACACCTTCCACAAGCTGCAGGAAAGCTCCTTATTCAAGCTAAACTGCTCAGCTGGATGTTGTTGTGCCTAACTTGTAGGATTGTTCTTCTAATTCCCCTCCCTACAGCCAAGAAAAAAAAAAAAAGTACTTGACCTTCACATAAATACACACCTCACTCTAGAATTAGAATCATCTAAAAGAGTAATGCCGTGTTATTTAGTAGTACAGTCACCCTTGCCATTCAATATTCCTATGTTCCTTGAACTTCTGGTTGAGACTGCAGAAATGCAAATGATAACTGCTTTCTTTTGCTTGGCCACATAACTAATAGACACAGGTTAGCTATTTTGAGGCTTGCGCTTGTAATTGGCAAGTTAAAGAAAGTTTCAGCTAGATACCCCAGCCACCTGTTTAAATTTCCAAACTGGAACCGCCACTCCGCAAGGAAAAATAAAACAAAGAGACTATTACAGACCTCCTAACCACTAGAGCATTACCTGTCAGTCAGCTATCAGAGTAAACTGCTCAAAGGGAAACATGGTGTGATTTTTTTTCCTCTCAGAAACTGAGTACTGTACTTAGTTTCTCAGAATAGAGCAGCCTTCTGGCAAGCAACAAGTAGCATGCAAAACAACAATGACCAGCTTCCTAAGTATCTGAAAAGTGGGTTAACAAGTTGATGTAGAAATCCCCTGAGTTGTCAGGTAAGACTGGAGAAAATTCTGTGAGAAAGGTCATATGAACAGATAATGCATGTATTATTAGGTCACAGCAGCTGCTGTAGTACCTATAGCTAGACAGAGAAATTCTTAAACTGGTAAAAAAAGTGTCATTTATGGTCCAAAAAGAATAAATGGCTTCTTTTACATAATTAAGAATTAAAGGACTCCAGTCCTTTACTAGAAGATTTACACATTCTTTTACTCTGTTTTCACTATAGTTGTTTGAATGATTTCTGAAACATTGCCCACTTCAGCTTATTCAAGTTATTCATACCCTCTTTTCAAACCATTTACATCAGAGAGACAGTGTCTTAGTGCTGATTAAAGTTTTAGAGCTGGGCCTGCCCAGTCCCTCACAGAAAATTTCTCATTAAAAGCAATAATTAACATTCACATTAAATATGTAGAGGCATCTTCTTATAAGTCTACTTGTCTTCCAAACAGAATCCAAAGAAGTAACAGTTAGACCTCAGGCATACAAGTGTCTCATTGTATGTTACTAGATAAACAGCACAGCAGACTGTCGTTTTCCTTCTCCTGAGAAAAATGAGTTGCCATGTCAGGTTTTGATCAGAATGCTTTGGTTCCATAATTCTGGCTTAATATTTGTTGATGCCAAAGATTCTAACGCCGTGCAGCTGGGGCAGTTTTGGGATAAGCACGCTCAGAAGAGAAGCGGTGTTGACAATGAAATGTGCTGGGTCGTATTTGGTGTAGAAGCTTGCCAGAAAATACCTGTAGAAAAAGACAGAGAGAGTCAACAAAAGTCTTTAAAAAAAGTGAAACATATTTTAAAGTAGTTTGAGTCACTAAGGGATTGAGGAAGGGTAATTATTAAAAAGTAGGAAGCTGAAACAGGACTTTTACTCCAGAATAATTTTTTTTTTTAAATACCTTCACCCAATTATGGCTCTAAGTATCTTCCTTTCAGAACCCATTTTTTGAGGCTTTGGGTCATAATTCTAAAAAGTAACTCAGCTAAAATCCACCACCCTCATCTTTTCCTCCTGAACTCTGGAGCTAAATTACAAGGTCAATTGGAGAGTCATCTTTTAAACTAAAAAGGTTGTTTAATATTTTAATGCAACTAAGGATAAAGTTATTTAAAGTTGCTTAACATGCTCAGTAATAAAGCATTTGAACTGTGGTACAACAACAAATGAAGTTGAATGCATCCATGAATAGAAAGGTCTTTAAAAACAAGCTGCCCACAAATTTTTTCATATTTCCACTGCAAATTTGCTTTTGTAATTTAGATGGATCACAACCAGTTCAACAGGAGAAGTTAGAAAACATGCCACAGATTCCAGCTTACTGCCAATTTTTCTATACTTTTACAAAGCCTGTAGTCTCCCTTACTTTTTTCATCTGCCACAAAGAGTAGTGCTGTAAAATTTCCCCTCTTGGATAGTTTTTTGGTTTTTTGTTTTTTTAATTTTATGATGTCTAAAATAGCATGTTGATATTTTTCTTACACTTTCAGAGTATAGGGCAGTGATTCAAAAATACTTTTTTCTTTTCAAGGAAAAGATGCTCACTTTTTAGTGAAAAAGTTGGGAAGCTTATTGCCTGAACTATTGCAACATCATGTTTTTGAGAGTTTCTACCAACTTATGCTTGTGAAACAGTCTTATAAAAAGTGATGCAATATAGGATTCTCTTCCCAAGCCTGCAGGCAAATACCTAAGTGTTACTGCTGGTAGAAGCTCTCTCAAACTGGTGAAGAAGCATAACAGATTATAAAGTCTTTCATTGTTACTTTTCAGAACCCTGTGGGTACAAATCAGGTCAACTGCTCTTGCCTAGAAGGCCTTGAAATAATTTGTTGGGGGGAGAGAAAATTGGAGAACAGACCCAAGAAGGTGCCAGGAAATGTATACTGCTAGAGACCGCCATCTATTGCGGTAGTTAGAAGCAACAGTGAAAGAATAGTATGGTGTTAGGATAGAGAAAAACTAGAAGAAAGTTTTCCTGTCTCAAAACAGAAGATCATTGGGAAGGTCATGATTTATCAACTGAATTATTATAGAGTCCATGAACACCTGAAAATACCGGCATATGCCAGCTTCTCAGCACTTGGGTAAAGACAGCAGTGTCTCTGGATGTTACCTGTGGCCACTCTTCTCATCTTACATTTCTGGCTGCTTGCTTGGAGTTTCCATATCCTAACTAGTCAGCATACAGAAGTTTTTCAAATACTGGTACAGGGCCTGATCCAGTAATTTGCTGAGCAAGCTTAGCTTCCACAGATGTCAATATGAGCTCTAAGCTTTTGAAATAATATTTAGCACCATGTAGGATTGGTCCCATAGTATTGACTGAATTTCCTTCCACTTGCTGATTTGTTATAGAGCTATAATTCTGTTAGCACAGGCTACGGTGTGCAAAAATTCTGTTTAACTGTGTATTTACCTAACTAGTGTAAATAGAAATAACACTATTCATAGAGTACAAAGCTGGTCTATAACACTATGGAGCTATTCAGTAGAAAATGTTAGCTATGAAATAAAGCAAGAAACACATTTTTAGTATTTACATGTGACTATGAAATCACAAGTACTGCAATCAGACTTACAGTAATGGGTGCGCTTGCTACTATATGAAGTTTAATTGTAAACTGCCCTAGTTAAAAGGGCCCAGCCCTGCAATTCCTTACCTTTATGCTTATTAGTAAGCATCTGCAAAACTGAGTCTCAGTCTCACAAATCCAGTTTGAAGATAAAAAGAACTGTAGACCAACTTAATCCCCCTTCAAATGCATTCCCCTTAAACTTTGTCAAAAGGAGACAAAATTAGTATGAAAAAAAATGTAAAGAATTACTAAATTTGTTCAACGCAGCTTTTTATCATCTAATATCTTAAATCCGACATTGAGTGCACACATAATAGAGAATGACTGTAATAGCTCAGAACTCACAGAATTATTGGAGAGATCGTGAAGAATTTTCTTGAGGATGTAAACTGTACTCCGTAGTCTAACTGCTCCCAGTGCGTTAGTAGCCTAGCTTTACCCTGGTCAGGTGTTTCAAAAGGAGTTCCTTTTACAGCATGCAAAAACACATACATTCCCTGGGAAAAAAAGACCAGAAAGAATAGTATTCTTATTTTTAACAGTGTTATAGATTACAAGGACAGTGTTAGGTTCTGTAAAAATACCAGTAAGGGAGTTCTTGCCTGGAACTAGAAACCTGAACAGACAAAGCATTGGGAGGGGTGAAAACAGAGAAAGGCAAAGACATGAAGTAACTTGCATAAAGTAATATAGTTGGTGCATGGCAAATCCAATTACAGAACCAAAATCTCCTAATTCCCAGTCTAGTGTCCTATCCACTAGATTGCACTACAAGGATTGCATGAAGAACAGAGTTTTAGAGGGGAAAATCCTACTAAGCTCAGGCCTGGCAATTTACATAAGTAAACAAACCTTACAAAATATTATTTATGTTCAGTAGTGAAGAATAAATGGACCTTGCTTTTTATATTCCCTTCATGTTTGAATAATGAAGAAATCATAACAGATTTTTATTTTCAGAAGCCTTCTTGACCCATTGCTGAATAAACACTTCATCGCTCACTTCCCAGTGATCTTCCACACACCATCTGTCTATCTCATCGCTGGTCATCCTCTGCTGCAATGACTCAATACCTTTACTTCTTTAATTACTTTTTCAAAGTCATCTCCATCTCAATACAAGACCTGAGCAAATATGTAAGTTTGCACATGCCTATTCTGGACAACAGAGGCCCAATTTTTTAAAATGCATGTCTAACATATGTGCCAGCCATTTTTTTGCTCAGAAGCGCTGCAGGAACTCTCTCAAAGGTTTTAGATTTCTACCTGTTAACAGTAATTAGTTTCTCATAATTCATATATTTATATACCGCTATAGGGGGAAGGAAAATAAAAAGCTTCCATAAAGGAGGCCTCAGCCAAGCAAGCCATTCCTACTTTTCTTCCAGCTTCTAAGAAAATATATAATCCTGGGTAACTAAAAATCATCTGTTAAATTTGGCTGCTAATTGTGATTATTACTTGCATCTAATTTTTATTAACTGAATTTCATTTCTGCCATGGTCAGGGAAAGTTCGTGATCTTCACTACCACTTTTTACCAACTTCAACATTAGCTGCGTTGCTTGTTTCTTCGCTAGAGCTCTCAGTACATCAGAGGCCAATTAAGAAGTAATTGCACAAATGGAAATGCCAGTGCTTTCTGCACACAGTCAAATCCTTCCAATGCTTGGCCCAGGAAATTCCATGCATGTGCTTGATAGATCCAGGAACAACATACATCTTCTCATCCCTTTTCTATCCAGCACAGTCATTTGGCTGCTGCTGGGCATTGCTGACAGTAGACACTTGTGATGAGTTAAGTGAGATGCTCTCACATTCCCTTGACTGCCAATATCCTCCAGTCATGGCCATGTTATTCCCAGAGAGATTGTGCCAAATGCAGTAAACTGAATAATTAGTTTTCACTCTATTTAGTAAGACAACAGCCCTTGAGAAAAAGTGATGTTAGACTAGATTTCTCTAGGATAGCATCCTTTCTTTTTGAGGTAGGGCAGATTTTACACAATCTTATTACCATTTTTTTAAAACCTCCAGTAACCCAGAAATGACGACTCAAATTATGATACACTGTCGTATTATGGCTCATTTGTCTAATCCTGATGTAATCCAAATTTTTACTCATACATACATATTTTAAGATTATCTTTACACTTACATAATCTTATGGAATGATTTGAGCAAGAACATAAAATTTTTAAGCCCTCAAACTTGCAAACATTTATGCAGATGAGTTATTTTATATACATCAATATTTCCACTCACTGAAGTGCTGGCCAAGTATTTGCAGGGTCTGGGTGAAAAAATTTAACTATGGTCGTGAACCAGAGTCCACTGAAATCAGTGGGTGTCTTTCAGTGAGATTCTTATTAGGCCTTGCATAGAGATAGCATACTTTAAAAAAAACAAAAACAAAACAAAACAAAAAAACAGGCAAGTTATGTTGTCCCAAAGTTTAAACATGAAGCAGAGAGCTTAACAAATGTTTCTATCCTAGGACTGTGCATCTAAAATACTGTAATTATATATCTTCTGTGGCCTCCAAGTGAATTCTTCAACTATATTAGCAGTTAATATCATTGGATTATACGTTGAGTATATTTACCTTGGTATAGGTTACCTCCCAGCAACGCTAGAATTCTGTTCAGATTTAACAGAATCCAGGGTAGATTGTAACATGCAGATTTAGCTTCCTAAACTCTCTGTTCATTTTAATTTAAAGAAAATCTTCACAGTAACCTATTGTGTCTCCCTTCATAAAGGCATAATACATGGGATTTTGAACAAGCTCATTGCAAAAGATGCTTTGGTTACCTTGACACCCGAGAGTCGTTTGAATTTTTTCCCCTTGCCCTTAAATAGCTGGCATTTCTAATGTCTGTTTACAAGTCAAAGCACTCACCAGATTGTGAATCACATTTGTTAAGGTCCATGCAACAGGAACGCTAAAGAAGGGAATGCTGAGCAAGACAATGTGAAGCATGGCAACTCCAAGCGTGTATGTCAGCCACATCCCTCGACTGTTCATCACCCTGGTGTTCGGATTTACCTCGCTGTGGGCAACTCCAACGTTCATTTTTACTGTATACAGTAAAAGGCCCGTCCTAACAATTACATATGAAAATTGAATTATTTGCCAGGAAAGGAAAAACATACACGGCTTAAGAAGAGCTAGTCTTACTTATCTCTCTCCCCCTCTTTGGCCTGCCTGCTTCTCCCTTTATCTTTCTCTCCTATTACTGGCAGGGTGCTGCTCCCCTGGCCTCCAAGCAGTGCAGCTTCACATTCAGAGCACGTTTGCTTAAGGATGCCACGTCGTCCAGGGCTGGCAACTAAACCCAGAGCCAGGGGGGCCCAGGGTGGTCCCAGCCGGTTCTCAGGCGACCCCGTTTCCAACCGGGGTCCAAGCTCCTTAAGCCCCAGAGCCCGGCTGTGAAAAGCCAGCGGTAGGACGGCCACAAAGCAGAGGCTCCCACAGCCTCCGGCTCCGCTCCGCTCCCCTAAGCAGCCCCCTCGGACTCCAGACGGGCCGAGCTCCAGCGCCCTCCGGCCCCAGGCCTCGCCGGGCCAGCGCGCCTGCGGCCAGCAAAGAAGCGAGGCCGTCCCACCGCGGGGCGCCCGCCCGCCCAGGCGG